GCGGTCACGTGACGCACGAAGAAAATCAGTCGACGCCTCTATCAGAGTGTAAGTGGGAGAAGCCGATACGAAGAAGTGGGGAAGTTAGTGCACGCCCCTCAGAAGCACAGTGAGAGAGTGGGAGTGAGAAAGGAGTTACCAAAAATGGAAAAGAGTGGAAAATCCCTAACCAGAAATAAGAAGGGTGGATACGTATTTAGAATTATCGAAGAACCCCTGGCGCCGACAGACCCACCCCAGTTTTGACGGCGTCAATAAAAGCGAGACCCCAACCGACAGAAATCAGTGCAGCCGCGGACGGCGGGCCGAGTTCGTTCGCCCCCTAGCGGGTAGAAGGGGCCAGTTCGTTTGGCCTGAGTGAAGAAGTTCGTTCGACCCAAGCTGGCGAGAAGAAGTTAGTTCGCACACCGGCTGATAGCTGACCAAGATTCATGCACACTTTTAGACTCTTCTTCAACCAAGAACAAGTAGTTTGAAGAGCGACTTAGGACCAGACCACAGAAATAAGTTTTTCGACTTTCGTCCAAAGACACCGAAACACAAATTTCTTAGAGAGTAGACAACTTGAAGCGTTAGAATTTGCCTAGCGAAAGCGTCGTGCCACAATCCACAGAACTGGTCGGGAAGTAGACATAGTCCTATGTACCGAACAAATAGACATAAAAAGTTTGTTACCTTTTTCTTTGATACCTTGAACTTTGTGAGTTTTCATTTTATTTTCTTTTATACATATTTGTGTGTTATCACCCCCGTTGAACTCAGCTTGCATTACGGCCCCAAACCCTGTTGATCTCGTCTGTCTAAGATCAATTCACAACGTGGGTAGGCAGACTGGAGATCAGTGCAGTTACCCTGGTAACCAGGCGTTGGAAGCAGGTTGGGAACGGCGAAGCTGGTATCAATCTAACCAGATTCCTACCCGAATCACCTAAGGGTTAGAACGTCACGTTGGAGAAGCGACACCCGGACGGAGCAGCAAGGTGCGAACAGCTGACGCCGCGGCGAAGATGTCACAATTGGTGCTGTTTAGGGACGTCACAACTGGCACCGTGGTAGATCAGGATAGAACGTCACAGTCAACGCTGCGACCGGGGGACGACGTCACAGTAATAAATATGGCGACAAAGATGAGGAGAATAGTCTGAATAATGTAAATAGTGTACATAATACCTCATCTCAGAAATATAGACAGATAATGAAAGGCCAAAACGTAGTAATAAATATGGCGACAAAGATGAGGACAACAGTCCGAATAATGTAAATAGTGTACATAATAGCTCATCTCAGAAATATAGACAGATACTGAAGTTAGTTTCATGTGACGTGAGAAATAGTTGTTTTCACACAATCTGTTTTACATATTTATATGTTTAGCATTCTGATGGTACAAATATTTACTCCAGTCATAATGGTATTCTGATCTGTCCGATAAAATCAAATTTGGCAGCTGATCTAAAAAAAATGACATACAATTTGCTGCTACGTGGGTTAAAGAATAAACATCTAAATTTTAACGCTTCCAAAGCTGTTCTCTGTAAATCATCTGAGAGACTCTCTTTCGGCTTTCCATCAACATGGTTGATGCTAACCTGCAAGAGAGCGATTTGTGCTTTATCAGATTAATTTTTATCTGCTGAAATGAAGTGGAAAGATTATATTTAATCAATTGTTAGGTTTGCTGCTTGGATTGTTGGTTGAATGGGACGTGACAGACATTGTTTTTCAATGGAATCCACTTTGCACATTCATAAATATATAATCAGGAAATTAACTGAATAGTGTTATCATATCTGATTTAGTTTTTCATGTAATATATATCGGGATTCTCGACAAAATCCAATGCAATAGAAATATATATTATCGGCCCTGAACTGGCATCTCGGATTTAGTCATATTCCTACCAAAGTTATGAGTCTTCTTTCTGTTTTTCCCATAAATATTTTCATGGCTATTGTGCATTCCTAGTTACTTCGATGAATTTAAGCGTACTAGATTAGTAATTATGTCTTATGTCTTTTCATCTTGAGACAGCTGCATTTAACCGGAATTTCTATGGTAATATTTTTCGTAATACTCGCCTGTGGAAGTAACTTCCGGTTTCGTGCCTCCTTGCCGCACAAGATCTGCAAAAATCTAAATACAATATCAATCGTCGTCTTTTGTCTTCCTCTGGCATGTTCTTTTAGCAACCTTTCCCTCACTAAAATCTTCTCATTGTCTTGGTGACATTATCGCCCTGTTTGAGGGAAAATCTTTAAACAGCAAAAAGTAAAAGAGAGAGAAAAAAAGATTATGATGAAGGAAAGACAGACAATAAGCCCAGAGCATAAAAAGCGAGAATAGGAATGATGAGAAAGAAATGTCGGGAAAACTTAAATAAAATGAAATAAATAATAACGGTGTAACATAAAAGGAAAGAATAAAAACGAAAGAAAACTAACTCTCTATAATTCTGAGATGAGGTATTATGTACACAATTTACATTATTCGGACTTATTGTCCTCATCTTTATCGCCATATTTATTACAGCGTTTCGGCCTTTCAGTATCTGTCTATATTTCTGAATTGAGGTATTATGTACACTATTTACATTATTCGGATGACTATTGTCCTCATCTTTGTCGCCATATTTATTACAACGTTTCGGCCTTTCAGTATCTGTCTATATTTCTGAGCTGAGGTATTATGTACACTATTTACATTATTCGGACGACTATTGTCCTCATCTTTGTCGCCATATTTATTACAACGTTTCGGCCTTTCAGTATCTGTGTATATTTCTGATATGAGGTATTATGTACACTATTTACATTATTCGGACGACTATTGTCCTCATCTTGTCGCCATATTTATTACAACGTTTCGGCCTTTCAGTATATGCTTATATTTCTGAGATGAGGTATTATGTACACTATTTACATTATTCGGACGACTATTGTCCTCATCTTTGTCACCATATTTATTACAACGTTTCGGCCTTTCAGTATCTGTCTATATTTCTGATATGAGGTATTATGTACACTATTTACATTATTCGGACGACTATTGTCCTCATCTTGTCGCCATATTTATTACAACTTTTCGGCCGTTGTACGCTCCGGCATGCGTCAATGATAACAGCAAAAATTGCATTATGAGAACTGGTAAAAAAAGGTTCCTGAAGTGATGAGTTTTATAATTCCCAGAAATTCATACACATATGTCCTCAATGACACATGTCTCGGTGGATAAAAGCGTTAGTTACATCCAGTTAAGGCAGTGGAGAACTTTCAGAGGGGGAATTAACAGGAGATAACTGACAACCATTAGACATGGCACATGGAACTAGAACAGTCTACCGCAGTGAGCGAAGTAGAGGGTTCAGTTTTACATTCCAACCACCTGAAGAAGGCCGGAGCGTACAACGGCCGAAACGTTGTTAAATAACATGGCGACAAAGAAGAGGACAATAGTCCGAATAATGTAAATAGTGGAAATAACAGTAGAAGAAAAAAGAGGAATTGGAGAGGAAATGGGAAAATGAAAGAAAGGAAGGAAATATTAAAGTTTAATGAGAGAAAAAACAAGTGAAGAAGAAGGAGGAGGAGGAGGAGGAGGAAGAAGAAGAAGAAGAAGATGAAGAAGAAGAAGAATAAGAAAAGAATAATTAGGAAAACCAAAAGTATCACTCACGTTCGCAGCGAAAGAGGAGTTGAATAGTCACGGAAGAAAAGGAGGAAAATTAATTAAATGTTAAAAGGTGAAATAGGGGAAAATATTGAAAAATAAATAGATAATTGTATAAAGACAAATTATTAAATCTGAAAATTTTAAAAACTGAACGAAGAAGAAATTACATGGGCCCGAATTTTTTTCTTTTAAATAGAGAACAATTCCAAAGAATGTTTAAATAAAAAAGAAAAAGGATTCAAGTTCTATAAAAGAAAATCATGAAAAATTAAATGAAGAAAAAGAAGAAAAGAAGCAGAAGAAGAAAAAGAAGAACAACAACAACAAAAAGAAGAGCAACAACAACAAATTATTGGGACCAAAATTAAAAAAAATATATAGAGAAATAATGTCAGCGATTGATTAAAATAATAAAAAAATAATTCAGACTGTATGAAAGAAAAACCCGAAAAATTAAACGAAGAAGAATCAGAAAAGAAGAAGAAATTCCATAGAACCAACATTTAGACAAAAGTAAATAAAAAGAAAACAAGGTCAGCGAATATTTAAATTAAAAAGAAAGGTATTCAAGTTGTATGAAAGAAAATCTCAAATGAAGAAGGACGATGAGGAGAAAGAGGAGAAGAAGAAGAAGAAGAAGAAGAAGAAGAAGAAGAAGAAAAAGAAGGAAAGAAATGAAAAGGAAAGCGAAAAGAATCAGCGAGTGCTCAGCTAAAGAAGATTTGTGCAGACACCGAAGAAAACGAGGAAGATTACTTGATGTTAAGTCAAACAAATGCCTCCCTTTGATGTCGGACAAGGCGGCGTCACTGATAACAGATAGAGAGCAAGAGGGCGGGACAGGAGGATGGCTTGGTCGTATAGGAGGAAAGGGGCGAAAGGAAAAGTGAAAGTGAAAGTGGAAATGTCGATCTCGTTGTGGTTGCAGCATCAAAATGTTCGCTTTGATCTTCAAAGCTATAAAAGCCGCCAATCTTGCCGACGTTCGCATCTTTCCCCTGTTGCAGACTTCCAATTTGATACCCGTTATTGCAGACGTATTTGCCTTCGTTCCTTTACTTCAGTATCTTTTCTTCTTTTTATTATTTTTTTAAAAATTCTTACTTTCTTTTTCCTTCTCTATTTTATCTCATTTAAAATTGTGGCTTTCAACATTTTTCCATTACTTTTCCGATTTTATTAATTTTTCATTCTTCTTTTCTTCCGAGTTTTCATCATTTGTCCATTTTCTATCATTAAATTTTCCTAAATCTTAATTCATCTATTCCCCGTTTGCTTCCTATACGTTCTACACATTCTGATATTACTTTTGTAAGATATTTTCTCCGTCTATGTCTCTCTCTCTCTCTCTCTCTCTCTCCCTCTCTTTTTTTCCCTCTAATTCTTACTTCCAGTATTCTTTGAGTTATTCGTTTTTGTTTTGTTTTTTCTGTTCATTGATTTTATGATTGTCTCACATGACATAATTCTTTCTTTTCACTTTGGTCATTCCCTTCTGTCTATCCTTTCCATTTCCTTCATTTAAAACACTTAGCTTGCAGGCTATATCTCTTTTAACGTGTTCACGGTTTTTATGATCGTTTTACCTTCATATTCTTTCTTTCCTCGTTCAATTATTGCGGGTTTATGTTTTACTGCTGTACTATTTTTTGCTAATGCCTTTTCTTTTTTTTATGTTTATATATTTTCATGTCATTCAAAAGATCTATCTATCTATCTATCTATCTATCTATATATATATATATATATATATATATGTATCCCAGTTTCTATCTATCTATCTATCTATCTATCTATCTATCTATCTATCTATCTATCTATCCCAGATTGTTTCTATCTATCTATCTATCTATCTATCTATCTATCTATCTATCTATCTATCCCTGTCTGTTTCCATCTATCTATCTATCTATCTATCTATCTATCTATCTATCTATCTATCTATCTATCTATCTATCCCAGTTTGTTTGTTTCTATCTATCTATCCATATATATATATATATATATATATATATATATATATATATATATATATATATATATATATCACAGCTTCTATCTATCTATCTATCTATCTATCTATCTATCTATCTATCTATCTATCTATCTATCTATATATCCCAGTTTGTTTGTATCTATCTATCTATCTATCTATCTATCTATCTATATATATATATATATATATATATATCACAGTTTCTATCTATCTATCTATCTATCTATCTATCTATCTATCTATCTATATATCTATATATATATATATATATCCCAGTTTGTCTTTATCTATTTATCTCTCTCTCTCTCTCTCTCTCTCTATATATATATATATATATATATATATATATATATATATATATCCCAGTTTGTCTTTATCTATCTATCTATCTATCTATCTATCTCATTTTCCTCATATCCATCAATATATCTATTCATTATCTATCTATCTACACACACAGAAACATAAAAATACACGCACACACACCTCACTCACGCACACACACACACACACACACACACTATATATATATATATATATATATATATATATATATATATATATATATATATATACTTTGCCTCACGTTTAGAAATGATACTGAGTTTCATGCACGTGGCAATCATCAGGCCCATATTTTTTACATTTCTTTCTAGATACTAATCAATTATTGTGAATTACTTCATGCCTCCATCCCAATTTATTGTCTCTCCTTTCCTCCCTTTCTCTCTCTTTCTCGATGTATCTCTCTCTCTCTCTCTCTCTCTCTCTCTCTCTATATATATATATATATATATATATATATATATATATATATATGCCGTTTTGACTTATATTATTTATATATTATATATGCGCGGTGCTTATTGGAAAGCGCTCAATATCAGTGATAAAGGTAGCATATATAGTTGGATTGATGTGAGTTTGTGACCTTGGATTTCACGCTTTCTGTGATCGTCAGACGAACGCAGAAACCGTGAAACTCAGGGTCACAAACTAACATGAATCAAACAAACTATATATATATATATATATATATATATATATATATATATATATATAAAGGAGTGATAGAGAGGCTGTTTTCTTTATTTTTTATGATTTTCTTTTTTCGACTTTGGAATTTTCCCATTAACAAATTTTCTTTTTTTTTATTATTTATTTTTTGATTTATTTTCTTTGTTAGCAAATTCCTTTGATTGTCTCTTCTTTTCCTTTTCATTTTAATCCGCAGGATTTGAATTTGACATAATGCTATTTTCAGTTCTTTCTTCGCTTCTCCGAAATCTTTCATAAATTTCCCGACACTATAATGTTACATTTGTAAATTTTAGAAGACTAAAAACTTTCCGAAACTTCTTTTTCGCCATCTCAGACACTTACACAAGAATTAGGCTTTTGTCCTTGTCTATCTCTCGTCAAAGTTTCTTATCATAAAATACTATAGTTTTCTCTTTCCATTAAGATGTTTTCTCTTTTCTATAAGTTTCAAAAATGATCTTGGCCCCATTCAATTCACAAAATCTCTTAAAATGCTTAAACGACAGAATTTTGTGCGATGTTAATAGTTTCTTTTCTAACACATTTCACCCTTGGAACACACATCCGGCCTCACTTTTTTTCTTCAGAACTGTAAATGCAATATCAATCGAAATCGGTCATCATAATTTCAGTTCTTTTATTGTTTTCGGGCTACAACTTCTACATGTCCCACGCAGAAAACGCGATATTTAAAAAAAAAAAAAAAGTTTCTAAATCCAAAATATATGTCCGCTGTAGAAGCTATTTTTATTTTAGCGATTTTTTTTTTAATCTTTAAATTTTATTTTATTTTATTGTATTTTTTTTCTTTTTTTTCTTCTTTTTTTTTCTCCCCCTACTCGTCAGTGTGTTTGCCCATAGTTACACATTCTCGTCCTCATAATTCTAACCTATTTGATGGTTTAGTTAGAAAATCAGAAAAAAAGGGAAAATTGAATGTCTTTGGCTACATGCGAAAGTGTCTCGTCAGTATTCTCATGATTTAGTGGCCGACTATTCTTGCTTGATAAATTTTCTGAATTTGAAATTGTTTTCGCCACCATTCTTTCTCCTGTTGTTCTTAATTTTTATTGAAAGCCTGCCTTGGTGAGGGCGGTGGATTGGCCGTTGATACCCCCCACCCACCAGGTCGATGCTTGGACTTAAGGTAAGCTGTACATTCATTTGTTATCATGAGGAAGAAAGCGGACTAACACTCGCTGCCACGTATGTTGGAGCATTTATTATGACATGGCAATAAATCCGGATAACCTTATTTTCTTCAATTTCTTTTTAGAATAGACAATGGGACTTATACTAAGTTAAAACTTAATGTTGCGAATGGGTAAATTCAAGTGTCAGCCAGGATTCTTTGCAAATTACCTCCCCCTCTCATCGTTACCTCTGTTTTTGTTGTTGTTGTATGTGTTATATGTAATAGGAGTAGGTAGGCTTTCCTACCGCCCGGTCAACACTCCTCCCCCTTCGCCTTGTTTCTTGTTTAGGAAGGGGTTCCCGGTACTATCTCTCTCTCTTTCTCTCTCTCACTGGCTTCTGTATCTCCTGTTGCCTTGATCTATCCACTACCCTTCTTCTCATCCTTTCTTCTATCACTCCTATCTGATCTTGCTCTAAATTTTCTGTAACCCCTTGCGTCCTAGTGGCTTCCCGCCTTGCTTGGGGTGAAACGCTTAAAAAAAAACAAAAAAAAACACACAAAAAAAAAACAGGAAATGGGAATCTTACAAAAGAAAAGAATCTGTTCTTATCTTTACCTACGAACTTAGTCAAAAAAATAAATTCCCATTCTTAGGCCTTTTCGTAGAATTCAGTAGTAACACATGCGCCACTTCATTATACAAAAAAATAAAAAAAACACCAGCAGAAACTATTGCCACTTTACTCTTAAGATATAAAATACTACTTATAAAAAAATACCTAGAGAGCACACGAGAATTCACCCACTCGTGCCCATTTCCTTAAAGAATTCAATAATGTAAAAAAAAACAGACACTAGTTAACAATGGTTTTACTAACTGCTTCATCGACCACCAGACGAGACTATTTCCTTCTACAGTAGCTAATAGCAATACTAAAACTATAAGCAAGAGGAATTTTCCCTTAAAAAATCACAAAGAGATGTACAAGAACAAGAGAATTATATCAATTATCTATTACAAAAAATTTAAAACAGCTATCCTTATCATCAAAAATAAAAAAAAAAAACACACCAGCAAAAATTACAGAGAACTAATATTATTTAGGAGTTCAAATGTCCCTTAAAGAACTGTGATCCTGATCAAACCAAAGTTTTTAATAATTACAGTGATTTTCCAAGTTTTCTTAGATGTGGCAAAAGGCCGAAATTAGGGGAGACCCATTTAGGATCGAACTCACTACTCAGTCGTAATTATTCTAGCGTGACAAGCTTGCTAACCATTAAACCCCCTCTAGGTGCCCTAGTTATTAATAATTCTATTGGTCATACTACAACATGCCTATATAGACGACTTACGTTACACCTACCCAATCATAGCTTAAATATGATTCATTTAAACACCAACGAAAACCTACCAAACACCATTCGATACATACTAGTAGAAAATACAAGTAAAATGGCGTGATCACATATAAAAAATATTTTAAAATAATGGAAGCCCTAATGATAAAAAGGAAAAGCAAACACTTAATAACATTAAGTAGGAACACGGCCACAATTTGCTAAAGTAAAACAAAAGCCTAATTCTTGTGCAAGTGTCTGAGATGATGAAGAAGAAGATACGGAATGTTTTTTGTCTTGTAAAATTTACAATTGTAACATTTTAATGTTGCTACATTTACGAAAGATTTCGAAGAAACGAAGAAAGAACTGAAAACAGCATTATGTCAATTTCAAATCCTGTGGATTAAAATGAAAAAGAAAACAAGAAAAAAAAAACAATTAAAATAAAACATCAAACATATTCACAAATAAACACAGAGCCACATTCAATTAAAAATGAAAAAATAACGAAATTGTACTTGATAATGGCTAGAAGAATAGCCGAAAGCGCTACGATATGCAGAACTTTTGGACAATTTTTATACACGTTGTTTCCAGAAAAAAATATTTGTACGAACGCAGGAAAAATAAAAAGCTTAACTGAAGTACCTTTTCAGTTATCTTTAACGAAACATGTATAAAAGAGGGATTGCTGCCCAAATATACAACATAGATAGATAGATAGATAGATAGATAGATAGATAGATAGAATTTATACATACGGTATATCAAATACACCAGAAACGGAAAAATTTGTCCCTCGAAAAAATACGATGGATTTGTATTACTTAAACTTTATCATAAGTCGATACTCGTGTATTTCAGTAGGCATTCTGTTTATTTAGTAAACGGTATATTTATTTTATTTTCATCTACCGGCTTGAATGTCCGATAAATCTTATTAAAGAAAACTTTTCCTTTTTCCAGGAGGATAATAAGCTCTTCGACATTTTCTTTTTTTTTTTTTCTATAGCGATCCTCAAACTAACTGGCGATGTTTCACCACCATCAGAAACAAAACCTTCGAAGCGACGAGACAAGAAATGGAAGCAGGTAACCGAGAAGAGTGAGAGAGAGAGAGAGATGCTCGACAGATGCAACTTCATCCTCGACAGACATTGCAATGCAGTCACTGGCATCGGCTTTTCCATACAAGTATTGGTTTAATTTGTGATCAACGCCATTATCCCGAAGGAAGCGATCAGAAAAGAAGTTAAATTCTTGGATACGAGTTAAAGCCGAAGAAGATATATATAAGTCTTTTGAAAATTAAATTGCTTCTGATATGATGCACGTAGAAACACTGTCTCTCGTACGAAGACCAAAGTTAAGTAACATCGAGCCTGATCAGTAACTAGGTGACATATTGGAAATACCATGGGTTGTAAGGGTGGGTGTGCGAGTGGTATAAAAGATAACGTTTCTGAATTGGAAATACAAAAGCCAAATGCTAATTTCAGTCGGGTTCGTTAAATTCACTCATGCTTAAATACCCGAGGGAGCGGTATGCAGGCCCCTCCCTATAATATTAGTGGTCGATATATATATATATATATATATATATATATACAGATGACAGAGCATGAATATAATATAAAAGACTCAAAAATTATTCCACTATAATAATGTATTGTCATAGAATATTAGTATTGAGCCTTATACATACACACACACACACACACACACACACACACACACACATATATATATATATATATATATATATATAATATGTGGAAATATATAGAAAATAGGAAGGAACTGGTTAGGTAAATAATCCAAAGTTCCTTAGTATTTTAGTTATTATTTTTAAAAAATAGTGCTCGATACAAAAGTAGAGCATAGATTCAAAAGAAAATTTCGCTTGAAGATGGAACAGAGCTTACTTTAACTCAATTTAATTCAAATAATTATACTGAAGTTTTCGGCTCTTGTTTTGAAAAATGAGACATCTTATGTCGCGAGTTGGAATCATACTTTTAAAATAATTATATATATATATATATATATATATATATATATATATATATATATATATATATATTCGGAGAATTTCCTAATCTTTATTATTGTTATCACCAAGTTACGCTCATTGATGATTGCCGGAGAACACATCGGTCGAAACGTTGTGATAGCAACTATATATATATATATATATATATATATATATATATATATATATATATATATAATTCGATTAAATCCGGTAATTTTTTAATTAAACTGTATTTATTACGTTTACTGGTCTGAATGTTCGAGAAGTATCGTCGGATATATATATATATATATATATATATATATATATATATATATATATATATATATATATATATATATATGACACCGAGCGATGACAGCACCCATGGCCCAGCTAACTGCGGTTTCTAGCTTTTTAAATTTACATGTCCTATTCCTGATATTGAGCACTTTTATCCACCGATATAGCATACTTTAAATCTATATTTTCATCACATTATACTTAACATGAAGAAGAGGCTGCTGAAATTTCTCCGACACATAATGAGGAAAGACCGTCTGGAGAATCTGATACTCACGGGTCGAATAGAAGGAAAGAGAGACAAGGGAAAAACAACGCATGCCATACCCGGCGGGTTTAAGTAAGTGGTTGACAAAACGTGGTCTAGGGGAGGTGGCAGAGGGAAAGAATAGTAAAGAGCGGCAAAGGATAGAAGGAGGTGTAGAGCCATGATAGCCTAAGTCCTGAAAAGACACGGCATATAGAAAAAAAATATATACATATATATCATATTATGAAATTGACAAAGTCCGACAATTATTTTAAGACTGTTTATGTTTATACATTCTTTTTATAGAATTATATTTGTATCTATAAAAAGAATGTATAAACATAAAATGTCTTAAAATATATACACGTGTGTGTGTGTGTGTGCGTGTGTGTGTGTGTGTGTACGTGCGTTATCCACATGTTTATGTTTCTGTCGTGCGTTTCTAAGTTACCTATGATCATGCAATTTTAATGTAACATCAAGCACTCATGTGCATACAATTTAACAGAGTTCAAAAAACGAAATTGCAATAGTCCATTACACTTTCACACATTCTCTGCAATAAATTATTAACACTTAGAGGGGACAGTCTATATCATGCTGAACGCAATCATCAGGCCATATATATATATATATATATATATATATATATATATATGTGTGTGTGTGTGTGTGTGTGTGTGTGTGTGTACTAGCAGCAGGGCCCGGCGTGGCCCGTGCTTGATTCAAAAATCGTACGACTCATACAGCAATCGCTATCACTTCACTTAAAATATTTTTGCCCTTCCTTGCCTTTAAATGAGTGCCTTTTACCGTGCTGATGTTGCTACATGCCTTACTTCTTGCCTATCTCACACTGCGAAGTTTTATATATATATAAGGAGGCACGGTGGAGTAGTGGATAGAATTGAGGAATCGAAATCGGAGTACCGAGTTCGAATTCCAGTCGAAGACATTACATTTACTTACGTGCTAATACACTTGGGAAAAGTATTAATCCTCTTCTTCTCGCTATAGTTATGGAGAAACAGCAGGATAGACTGGGTTCTATAGCCTTGGATGGAAACTTGTCTAGGAGAAGGACAACGGGGTCATTTGTGGAGCTTCTGACACGTAATGCACCAGCTCTCTGTATTTAGACCTTCAAAAAGTGTAGTTTGTTCTGCACAAAGCCTTCATCACTATAATCAAATCATACACACAAGACCACATGCATGTGTGTGTGTGTTTGTGTGTGTGTGTGTGTGTGTGTGTGTGTGGAGGCACGTCAAAAACACAGCCAAAGGGGGGAAAAAAGGATTATACTGCATTTCTCGGCTAAGGAGCTTTCGAAATATTGTAATTTATCTGGATTCGGAGACCGACTTCTGTCACCAGTTGAAATATGAATGTATTTCGGCCAGAAGGCAGGTCTTCAATATTGATTGTCATCCATTTTGCTTCCTATCTGCCGTTCTTTCATGGACATTGGCGCAATTATTCATTTCTCTCTTTCTTTGTCTCTTATTTCTCTAAAATTCCCTCTTATCTCTCCCACCTCTCTATATCTCTCCCCCTCTCTCTCTCTCACACACACACACACACACACACACAAATATTCGTTGTTATTTTTTTTATCTCTGTCTCTTTTGCATAAATATTATGTCTTTCTTCTTTTTTCTTTTCATTCCTATTTTGTTTTTGTTCTCGCTACTTTATTACGTTTCTCATTCTTCCTATTTTCTTTATTGTCTCCCTCTTGTCATAGAATATTCATCTCTCTCTCTCTCTCTCTCTCTCTCTCTCTCTCTCTCTCTTTCTCATGCTCTTGTTTTTTATTCTTATTGTGTCTTTCAATAACCACTCTCTTCACTCTCTCTCTAACCTCTGAATCTATCTATCTATCTATCTATCTATCTATCTATCTATCTATCTATCTATCTCATGTTGTTCATTTTGTATCTATCTATCTATCTATCTATCTAATCTATCTATCTATCTATCTCCGCCTGTGCATTTTCTGTCTATCTATCTATCTGTGTTTTTTGGCCTTTTTTTTAATTTCTGAATCTATCTATCCACCTATCTGTCTAAAAATTTGTGTTTGTGTGTATGCGTGTGCACGTTGCTCTTTTTCTTAATTTCTGAATCTATCTATCTATCTATCTATCTATCTATCTATGTTTGCTAAGGTGTGTTTGTGTGTGTTTAATGCCATCTTTCTTATTTTCTGAATCTATTCATCTATCTTTTTTTTTGGTTGCCATCTTTCTTAATTTCTGAGTTTATCTATCTACCTATCTATGTGTGTCGGTATGTGTGTGTTTGTTGCTTTCTATCTTAATTTTTGAATCGAAATATCTTTCCAGCTCTCGATCTCTCTCTATCTCTCTTTCTATCTCTCTCTCTCTCTCTCTCTCTCTCTCTATATATATATATATATATATATATATATATATATATATATATATATATATCAGTGTGTGTGTGTGTGTGTTTATCTTTTGTGTATGTTCGTGTGTGTGCTTATTGCTCTCTTAATTTCTGAATTTGTGTTTAAATCTAATCAGTAATGCCGCTAAAACAAAATGGATTACAGGGTCTGTAAGAATTAGGAACAGAAAAATTAAATAGCAAAAAAGAAGAGAATAATGAGGTGGAGAGTAGATAGTGATTGATATTGTATTTATATTTTTGCACAATAAAATTGACTCGAACGCATGGAGGTGCAAGGGAGTTCCACAAGCGAGATGTGCGAGAGAAGAAACTGTTAGTATAGAACTTACGGCTACATCTAACCAGCTCAGTTGATGAGATAGCGACGCCAGTCTAGTGCTGCGCTTAAACTCAAAAAATCTAGTTATGATAGGGAAGAGCGATATTTATTTCCGTTTCAATACAGAAGATGTGGCACAAGGTCTAAAATGGAGAATGTTGGAAAAGGATGGCCTTCTATCTTAATATTAAACTTAGCTAGCCACAAACACTGACCTCAGATTAACAACCAAACATTCTGAAATGTTCGTATAGCAGTTTCCGGCGCCAATGTCAAGCAGTACAGCATTCCGTTTCCAAATTTATGGCGGTGTGTATTGCAACATGATGTTCTTTTAATCACAGACGATGTCCAACCGACCCTACTATACTGTGCCGTCGACAAAATCAAAAACAAACAATGCGCATGCGTGAAATTAAAAATATATAAAATGGCGGCAAATTCACCATCAGAATTTTCGCTATCCCAACGGCGATAAAATATGCAAAATGAAATCACATATTGACCTGAATACAATCGTGTATGAAAGTGTATTAAAGATATAACGTTATTGCTCGCTTCACTTGTAAAGACCAGCACTTGGATATAACATGTGTAAAAAAGAACGAGGCGAAATAGCTGCCCTTAATCCACCAAATGGGACCCAGGAATGCTTCAATCAATGAAAACGATGTTGCATAAAGTGTGGCTTCAGAAGGGGACTACAATAATATTCCTGGCAACAAAACAAGGTATAGACATTTAAATTAGTAAATAAGAATTGTATTCCTGATCAATCAAAATTCGTAAACAATTAACAGGCCACACTATGTTTGACAAGAAGACTCACACTGAATCTTTCTGTCCTTAGCTCAATTTGACCTCAAAAGAAAAAAAATATCGTGTAACATCAAAATTGTCTGTTTGTTAGGTTAAACTCGAACCGTTGTTTCATAGAAATAATTAAAGATATATTACTGGAATTTTCTGAACATTTATAACATTATTGGACTCTACTTTGAGCAATAAGAATGTGTAATTACTCTAAAAGGTTAATAGACGAGTCGTGCTGAAATCGATCATGAAAGATAATGACATGTCCATCATTAATCAATCATAGCAAAGGATCGGAAGCTCATTAAAGTTTTAAATAAAGCTCAAATATACGTTTTCGTTTTGGCAGATAAATTATATAAATCCTATCCAATTGTTGTTTTTTTTTATTCCGAGTACTTTCGGCTATACATTTAGCCATTGTCAACCCTGAAATATAGTAAAGGCTAACAAGAAATAGATTGTTGTTTGCATGTATTTATATAATGTTTCATTTTCAAAACACGGTCAAAATATTCCATCCATTTTTATAGTTGATATTACTGAGTGTTGTTTTTTTTTTTTTTTTATTAAGAAGGCTTCCGTTATTTTTAGCCTTCCATTTACATGTAGACGATGCTATTATATTTGTGTTATTAATAAGTATGTCACGAATAGGATCCAGTATGTTTTCATGAGTATTTAAATGAGGCCTAATTGAGCTATGGTGAGAAATATATAGTGTTAGTCTTCTTGTCAAATATAGCGTGGCTTATATAATTGTTTACGCATTTTGATTGATCAGAATACAATTCTTATTTTTAGAATTTAAATTTCTATGCCTTGTTTTGCTGTTAGGAATATTATTGTAGTCTACTTTTGAAGCCACACTTTATGCAACATCGTTTTCATTGATGGAAGCATTCCTGGATCCATTTTGGAGGTTGAAGGGCCGACACTTCGCCCCGTTCTTTTTTTACTCGACTCATTAAAAGTGGGTTTCTTTCAAGTGGGATTTGAATTTGAGAAGAGAGAACAGTCCTTGGTCAAAAACTGCTTCACAAACCTTATTCACAAATGGAATATCCGTTATGCGGGGAGACGACCATATTCTACACATATTATATCAAAATGCTGGTCTATACAAGTGAAGCGAGCAATAACGTTATATCTTTCATACACCTTCATACACGACTGTATTCCAGGTCAATATGTGATTTCATTTTGCATATTTTATCTCCGATGGGATAGCGGAATTTGCCGCCATTTTATATTTTTAATTTCTTGCTTGCTTTTTGTTTTGTTTTCGATTTTGTCAACTGCACAGAATAGTAGGGTCAGTTGGACATTGTCTGGGAATGAAAGAACACACCACCAGAAATTTGGAAACGGAATGCAGTACTGCTTGACATTCGCGCCGGAAACTCTAATACGAACGATTGTTTTAGGTGTCAATTTGAGGACAATGCAAGACTCTGCACCTTGCCACTCGACAAATCACATATTAAAGTAACATTAATGCAAAACGATGATTCGAAAAAGTGTTCATCTTATCTATAAACATTTTTGTATCAGTTATAACTGTTTGTACTTATTACTTATTTGTACCTATGACTTATTTGAACTACTATTTATTTTTGGAAGATTGGAATCAGTTGGTTAATATTTCATTATCTTTTTCGCATCCTTTTTTTTTAATTTTCTTTCTTTCTCTCTTTCTTTCTTTTTGTCTTTTTATTCTTTACTTCTCTTTATTTCTTTCTTGTATTTCTTTATTATTTTCTTTCATTAATTATTTTCTTTCTTTTTTCCTTTGTCTCCTCATTTCTTTCATTTTTTTCTTTCTTTAATTTTTTTCGTCCTTTTTCCATTCTTTCTTCATTTGTTTCATTTTTTCTTTCTTTTCTTTCTTTCTCTTTGTCTTTTATTTCTTTCTTTCGTTCTTTCTTTTTTCTTTTCTTTCTTTACCTTGTTTTTCTTTCTTTTCTTCTTTGTTACTTTCTTTCCATTTTCTTTCTTTCCTTTTGCTGTCTAGGAAACCTACCACCCCCTTGAAGATGAACTTGTCTACAAACAAAGACGTTAAATAGTGGCATGTCAAAAGACAGACGGAGCCGAAGAAGTTCTTGGCTGAGCTCGTTATAGACTACTCAGGCGATTGCTGTAACTACTTACCAACCAAATAAACCCCTTTTTATTGTTACGTGTTATTTGGCGTTTGTCTTTATTAACCCCAAATCAACATCATAACATTTTTTTATTTCTTTTATTTTTCTCCTCTTTCTGTCTTTCTTTCCTTTCTTTTTTCGCCTTTATCACTTTTTTCTTTCGTTTGCTTTCTAGTCCGATTTTTTTGCTCCAAGTTAGTCCTGTGAGGACCTGCTGACCACCCTGAGATCTACGACAGTCCATCCTCAAACTCTCGACTACCTCGCACACCACGCAACCGCTGAAAGGACATCGTCCGTCGGGACCTGCTGCTCTTCCGACGCTTTGCCAAAACTATGACAGCCGGAGAGACAGGGTGGTTCTCGTGGGCGTATGAGATTCAGCAGCAACGGCAGCATTTATTTAATTTGAAAGTCTTTAGCGGTGCATTATATTCAAGAAAGAAAGACGACAGAGTCGAAGTTCGCTTAGCAATAATACCCTTGTGAAAGAAATGTGTACAGTTCTCTCTGTACTTTAACCTATGGTAACTTAACAAAATATACCAACATCTCCATGTTATTAATATTTGAAAAGGTGCAGTAGTAAGTATTTAGTTCAAATACTAGTAATGGATAACGGAGAGCCGAGTTCGAATTCCAATCGAATCCATTACATTCACTTACATGCTAATACCCTTAGGAAAGTTATGAATCCTCTTCTTCTCCCCCCAGCTATGAGTAAGTAGCAGGACAGATCAGGTTCTAAAACCCTTGATGGCAACTGGTCTACCGCAGAAAGAAATGGCAATCTACCGCGGGAAAAAATCTGTCTCGTCTATCACCTAAACGTGTATCGCGTATGGCACATAACTGACTGACTATTCCTTTAAAATGTTAGACGTGTGTACAGTAGCAATGAAAATTCTGCGACCTCTATGTTAGACCTTTACAAGAGATACGCATTTAAGCTATACTTATTTTTATTCTTGTTTGAAGAAAAGTTTTTTTTTTTTATTTCTACTTGAAGATTCAGAAGCTTTTATATACTTTGCTTCCTGAGATTCAATTACTTTTTTTTTAAATATTATTTCGTTTTATTGCGTCTTCTTTGTTTATTTCATTCCTTAATGATATTTCTTCACGCTCTTCTTTCTTTCCGTTGCTCTAAGACTTATTCTCTTTCTTCATAAGTTCCAGATTTTCCTCTTCGTTTTTGATTTTTTTTTCTTTCATTTATTTTGTTTTTTTTTCACAGAATAAAATAATCCCCAAATCGATCACATTTTCAGATTTGCAAATGTTATTCATCTTCTTCTTAGATTTCACGTGTGCTTGGCACATATAGAGCTGTCTTTTTCCTTTCGAAATTCGGTGAGGATAATGGATCACTCAAATGGAATGCAACATTTCACACCCTTTTCAA